CCCCACCCTCCCCTACCTTCCCTCTGAGGTTTGACTGTCTGACCTTGAACAAATCATTTTACTTCTTTGGACACATTTTCCTCATATGTAATTTTACGTCATGGCCCTAAAGTCCTTAGGATTCGAGCTTCACTATTCTTGGACTCTAAGGCTGGCCCTGAGTGACATGTGAGACTGCTCTCTGTCCTCACTCATATTGCACAAATATACTCACCTGGCACAGAGAGGTCTCGGGAAAGGAATCCAGGTCTGAAGCAGGGAAATGAACAGGCTCCTTGTGCTGGGATTTATGCGCTTCACTGGCGTTGAGTGTGGTATTTGCCAGGGAAGCAGTGTCTTCTGGAATACCCTGACTTGCTGGGGATTATGGTCCTGAACTCAGGTAGGTTTCAAAATACATGTCATTATGGATGCTGCTTTCTGTAATGAGTGTCTGTAACCTGGTTGCTTGGTGACTACCGGTATTTGGAGAGGAAGCAGTGGAACAAAGAGACGTGCTGCTGGTGGTCAATGGCCATGTTGGTCAATGACCACATTTGGTTCAATCATGGAGTCAGTCAAAACAAGTGTCTGTGTACAAGATTTGGTTTCTATTCAGGAACTATTGGGCAATAGGAGACCCCCAAAGCAAGAGGGAACTCATTTATCAAAAGATAAATAAAGGAAGAGTTCATAACAGATGATGCAGAAGAACAATCTACATTGAAATGAAGCTGCACTCATGACAGTTCATCAAGATGCAGGGGAGCCTGTGGTTAAGAGCACAGCGTTTTTAGTATGTGGTTTTGGCCAAGTTATTTAATCTCTCAAAGCCTCAGTTTCCTCATATCTCAGAGGGATATTGATACCTCCTATGGTTGTTCTAAGGAGATAATATAAATGCCAAGATATGTTAATCACAGGTAAGTATTATTGTTAAAACTATTAATATTATTGCAAGCCTAAAATTCACACTGGATTTCAAGGACTTGCTACCCCTAATCTAATAAACTATAAGAATGTAAGAATAAATGTTTAAAATAAACCATTAGATGATCAAATGATTGAACTATAATGAATATTGAGAGAAAAAATTCTCATATTTTTTTTAAACCAGTGCACCATATTTATTTGTTTTTGTTCTGTAATTTAATCTCTGGAAACTTATTGTAAAAAGGTAGCCATCTACTTTGCATTTGATTTATTTCAGTCAGTGTATATGAGGTGGGATCAGAAATTAAAGATAGTGGTTTCCATAAACTTTCTTCATTGTTCCACACTCCTATTTGTCTACTTTTGTCTCCTAACTTTGGGTGGAATAAATGTACATTTGCTGAACTTGTTCAAAAACAGAATTAAGACCCTGAATCATGAAAAAAAAAGGCATTGCTTTGTAACAGAACTTTTAAAAAACTGTGAAATATTTAACCAGAGTAAAATGTTTCAAAAAATCAACCCCGAAGAAAGTGAGTGTTAAGATACTGTGAAACTACTCTTACAAAAACAGAGAAACCACTGAAAACTAGTCTGGTTTGGGTCCAAGTATTTTCGTCTCAATGAGCTTCAACTTGCATTTGGTCCACTGAAAATTCAGTGAAATTTTGAGCATTTAAATGGTGATCATGTGTGGTAGCCACAGCTCGGAGCAGAGCACCTGGGAGTGGGGGTTTTCTTGTGTTTCACTGTCTGAATCTTTCAGAAGAGAAGTGAAATTCTATAATCTGAGTTTCATTGATTTATTTAGTTTTGACCTGCATTTTCATGTCCAATTTCTTCTATGTCAGGTCATATGTTAGTCTCTTTTGATTTGAACACTTTATAGATAATTTTGCAAGCAGCATTTTCATAGAAAAGAAATTAGGACTGAAATCTAGGATTCTGGCTGCCTAACACAAAAAAATCAGGATATCCTAAATTCAGTTTTTAAAAGATGTTACATAATTACTCACTTATTATTGAATTGACGCACTAGTTTTTTTTTCCCCCAAGCAGTTTCACCACATTATTTTTTATTTAAACTTTTTAAAAATCGTGGTAAAAAAACCCCATAAAATTTGGCATCTTAACCATTTTAAGTGTACGGTTCTGTAGTGGTAAGGATATTCACACTGTTGTGCAACAGAGCTCCAGAAACTTTTCATCTTGCAAAACTGAAACTCTATACCCATTAAACGATAACTCTGCATTTCCTCCTCCCCCCCAATTCAAGTGGGGTATGTATATGTTTTGTGATTGCAATTTAATGAGGTCAGAGGTCATTTAGGTGAAATTGAAACTGTAGGGTACTGTGTACTTGGAAGTATGAACCAGAGGGATGAGTGTTCACAGGGTTTTTATTAGTTGAACTATAAGGATGCTACTTTATGGAACACCTGCACTTCTTGAAAGACAGGTACTGATCATAGTTTTGAGTAAGAAGATTTACAATAAATATCAAAACCAGGAATGGAATAAGGCAGAAAACCCTGATAATGAAGGAAGATAACTTTTGAAATATGTAAATAACCAAGAGAAATTGTGAAATTGTTTTCCATGGAGATATTAGAAAGGAAAATATTCACCTCAACATTATGACTTAATTGAGGTGCTGCCAGCATGCCAAGAGGTATAGTAACAGGTCCTTAACCAATCCCTTCCCTAGACTTTTCAAAGCTGTGCTTAAAGGAGTCTGGTGTGGCCACAGTACAAGGCAACATCCAGAAGAATGGAGATATTAGAAAGGAAAATATTCACCTCAACATTGTGACTTAATTGAGGTGCTGCCAGCATGCCAAGAGTTATAGTAACAGGTCCTTAACCAACCCCGTCCCTAGACTTTTCAAAGCTGTGCTTAAGGAGTCTGGTGTGGCCATAGTACAAGGCAACATCCAGAAGGAGGTGATGTTGAAATGTGGGTAGTGATATCTCACAGCCTTCCTTTGCTTAACGGAAATCATTTTTAAAATGCTCAGGGTCCTGGTTGGGAAATGAACATCATGGAAGAGGTTTAAGTGCCAGAGGGAGTGAGGTCCTGACACTTTGGTGCTGTTGCCAACACTTATTTTAAAAAGTCAAGATGATGTGGTGTCATCTTATTGGCTACCATCATTATCTTCACAGCTCCCATGCACTGATATGATGGGCTAAATATGACATGATAATGATAATGATGATGCTGATGTGATGATGAGAACAGTGATCATCTGAACTCCTGGATGTTCCATCTTTCCATCAGATCCCTTGCCTGATGTCTCAAAATTAAAATTTAAAAACTCAAGGTTTGATGATGCTTTGTAAATCTCTACATACAGGGTTAAATTTGTAGATTGTATTACCTAGAGTCATTTAAGACATGGTTCTAGCATTTTTTTCAGGTAAACTTTATTAAACAGGTTTTGATGTGTCAATCTGGGAACTTAATTATCATTTATAAACTTGTTTTCTTGCTAAAAATGTATTTTGAGTCCAAAACAAATAAATTAAAAATTGCAAGGAAATGCCCTTTTTAAGTAGGAAATTGTTTCAATTTGTTCTTGTAATTCTATATGAGCATTTAATAAAATATTTTAATTTGGTTTTGGAATGAAAGCTATAGCTTAATTTTAATCACGGAGAACAGTAGGGTAGCTAAAAAATGAACAATACTGCATGTACTAAATATAAAGTCATTTATATTTAGTCATTTGACTTTGAAATATAGGATAAGAGTTTTTAAACTTCAATTGCATTTTATATAATGATGCTTTTCTTATTTTGATATTAACATGAATTTTCATGTCTCTAAACTCACATCAGATGTTTTGCCTACTCTGGGCTTATTGTCAGTGGTGGTGAGAGTTCATCTAAAATTTAAAATATGTTGTAAACAATCTACAAATTAGTGGATCCAAACACAAATAATCAAGTACAGATGGTGTTAATGCTACTTGGGTAGCGATGGACCAGAGGAAAATGTAATGGAAAGGAATATGCAGCTGCAGTGAGCTATTTCACTAAATCTGGGCTGTCAATACTCTCCGGAGAGTTATTTTTCTTGAAGGTCCTTCCTGTGGGGGAGTGTACAGTGATAACCCCAGGTTCAACGATAACACATTGGCATATGAAGAAAAACCACATGCTGCATTTTTTACCTCATTCATTGTTTGAATTGATCAGCTGATTTGGTCTCTAGACCTGGGTTCTTTTCCTTTCTCAAAACCCCATCTGATTCTGATTCTCTTTCCCTCTCTTGGTTGATGGGGACAGTTCCTGGTTGGAGGAAGACTGTTTTTAAGACCAGAGAATACGGGTGTCTGCTCTCCTCTACTAGGACCTACATCAGCGTTAATACGGTGGGCACACCCTCTGAGAAGGACTGTCATCTACAACTTGGGGACATTAAACATGTGGAAAGGGTCCAGGGAACAGTAGAGATGGCACCTAATTAGAACTCCAACGGCCTTGTGGTTAGGTTTAAGGAAAGTATAATAATTTCATCAATATTTACCAATAGCTGAATGTTTTCCATGTGCCAGGTGCTATGTGCATCATCTTGTTTAATCTTTACAAAACCTTATAAGGTAAATCAGATTAATATCATTTTGAGAAAACACACACACACACACACAAACAACAACCAGAGATTTAGAGAAGTTAAATTATCTTCCTCAAACTTATGCAGATGGTAACATAGACCTGGAATTCAGTCAAAGATTGTTGGACACTGAAGCAAATATGCCAATTATTCTGCCAGTGCTGGCTATGGTGGTTGTGGGGACTTGAGACCTGGTTGCTGTTCTCTGGGTGACCATTTTGTGCAGTTATTGCCAATTAGTTAAATTTGAAGTTCTTTATAGTTCTTCGGTCTGTTTCCTTCCTCTTTTTCACCTCTGGTTATTTTCTTCCCACTTCTCATATCACTCTCAGATTGGGAACAAAGGCGGTGATTCCTGCCCATTCCCTCCCTGCACCACAAGCCCTGGGTCAGTTAGGACAGAGGAGGAGCCAGAAACATGGTGAGGAGTCAGTTTCTCTCTCTGTGCACTTTAGCCCAGCTCTCAGGACACGTTTAGATTAGGCATACTCAAGGATATCCATGAGTCATAACTATAAGCTTGGTCGTAGATAACTGTATTGGGTGTGTTTAAATGTACAACTCTGTTTTTCTATCATTATGTGATATTTCATGTTGACTTGTCAAACTGAGAAATACCCATATTGATTTTGCAGAAAGCTTCACATGTGAGATAAATGCACTCAAAGACGCCTCACAAGTAGCTCTTTGGCGCTTCAGATGTAAAATGGATCACTCCTCAATCTGTAATAGACCCTTCCGTGGAGCTCTTCAATCAAACCTCAGAATTCAAGGTGAAATTGAGGGGAGGATGGGAAACCCCAAGAGGGGAATTTGAGTGAACTAGCTGAGAAAGGAACCTGGGGTACGTGCTGACTCTTTTATTTTTTTTTTCTTCAGTTCTTTTCTCCAGCATGGGAAGGCTGTCAATCAACGTGTGACCTTACACGCTGCATGTGTGTAATACCTGGTACAATGAGACCAGCTGTAGAGGGAGTGTCACAGGCCCCTTTGATTTCTCTCCATTTGCCTTTTTTTTTCTCTCCCTGACAACCTTTGGGTTATTTTTAAAGTAGCTATTTTATACAGATTTATTATGAAAGTTTCTCTTTCCACCAAATTATTTATATTGCTGTGTTTGATAGACTAAATTTCTTATCTATTGAGAAAAGCATAAATAATCTCTCAAAGAAGTTAGTGATGTATGATAACTACTTTAGTTTGAAAGAATTGTCATATTTTGTTAAGGAATGATCCTAGCAAGTACATCTTATTTAGGAATCATGTTTGTAGATCATGTAATGACTTTTAATTAGTTTGTCCCCAGTAAAGCAATAAGACAGAGTTACCTCTAGGAAAGGAAACAGTATTCTTTTGAAATTAGTTTTCATGTTACATTTCTTATTTATTTGGGGGCACATTTTCAGTTGGACATCTCCAGGTTAATAATAATAATAATAATAATAATAATAATAAAAACTCTTTCAATGGCCTATTTAGTTTGGGGGAGCAGTGAATCATTGCACCAAACTAAATAATAAAAAGTATGCTTGGGAATTGATGCTCTAAATATAGAATATGTTTGATAATAGTTTTTGATGCTCAAGCTGCTATGAAACGATTGCTATCCCATAACTGGCATAGTTTTCCTAAGCCATGGAGACAGTGTTGTTTGTAAAACTCACACATCAGGCTAATCTTTAAGAGCATATTAATTGCCCGGGAGGTTTATATGTTTGCTCTGCACATGTGATTAGAGACCAGGCAGCATCTACAGCATAATTTTAGAGATGGAGAAAATGACTATTGTAATAGTTGCTACTCTCAGTTTCCTCTACAGCAATGCCCTTACACCTTTCTCTTTCAGGCGTTTTGTAGCATCCTAAACAGAAGGATATTGAAGGGAGCTGATTCTGCTTTGATCCTTGTGCTTGTTGTCAAAGCGCTTGGGATTGAAGAGACTGTTGGCTACAATTGACTGTGACAATTAGGAGATGATCAGAGTCCTAGAGTGGAGCACTTAAAGGGTAATTTACATGTCAGTTTGTCGAATAAAAAAAAAAAAGATATTCAGCTAAGGTTTTTTTCCCCCCTCCGAGCCTTGTAAACTGCAATTTGTGCTCTGGTTAGAAAAACCTGGCAGAGGAGTTAGGATAGCCATTACCATTTGAAAAGAAGCAATCATAAGGCCGCTGCTGAGCCCTTTGTCCACTAAAAATGCTGATTTGCAGGCGGTGAGTGAAAAAGTGGAACTGTCACTAAATAAAACCCTGAGCTAGGTAACTACCTCCCTCCCACCCCATGGTGGCTTTTTTGATGTTTGTTAAAGGTGCTTTAAAAAAATGGATCTTAAATCCTACACTTACTATCATTGTAACATTGTTATTGGTTATGAATGACCTTACCTAAAAAAATAATAAAAGGATGCATTGAGGAAGCGGTAGGTGGAACGCACGCCAACAGTCAATGGAAAGGGCTAAAGCTGGCTACCAGATGTATCTTATTCGTTTCCCTTTTGTACATCATCACAATTTTCCTCTAGTCCATCCTGTGTGCTGCGCTATTTCTCCCCTACTGTATCAGTGTGCTCCTAGGCTTTTCTGTTTTATTTACACTCCAATTTTAAAGTGGGAAGTGTATTTCTAACCTTTGCATATTTAGCCTATTTGAGTGCAGTTGGCTAAGTTCTTTCCAGTTGTTATGAATAAAAGTGCTATGTATACTACAATTAATGCAGGTTCAGTCCATGATGGGCTGCCATACACATGTGGTCATCTCTCTACTTTTCCATCAGGTAATCTACAAAAAAAAAAAAAATAACTAGAACGCTAAACGAGGATAATTGCCAGTAAATATGTGGTGATAGCAGTTGCATAACATCCATTTAATTGTGAAATAGAATAAGAAAAATTAGTTCTTTCAAAACTTTGTGAGCCTCCCCCACCCCACCATGGAAATTAATAATAATAACAGAAACGTGTAGTTAGTTGCAAGATTGTCATTTGGATAATTGTCAAAAAAAAAAGAGGTTATGTCTCCATACAACCATCCTGTCTGGACAGACAGACATTTAAATTTGCTGTGTGTGTATCTGATTCAGAGATGCATGCGGACCTTCAATGGCAGATGCATGTTACATCCCTTTTGGGGGATGCTGGCTACGGTGAAGGGCATTTGAGAGGCAGCAGAGGGTTAGAGATGAGTTGGACTTTATCCTAACACAGTGGTTCTCAACCTTCTGGCCCTTTAAATACAGTTCCTCATGTTGTGACCCAACCATCTCATTATTTTCGTTGCTACTTCATAACTGTAATGTTGCTACTGTTATGAATCGTAATGTAAATATCTGATACGCAGGATGGTCTTAGGCGACCCCTGTGAAAGGGTCGTTCGACTGCCAAAGGGGTCGCGACCCACAGGTTGAGAACCACTTTCCTAACACTTCAGCCTGGATTGATGAGAGCTAAGAACATGCAGGGCTTTCCTAAGCCCATTGCTGTTCCCCCATGGCCTTCCCCTGGACACTGTGTCCGGGGACACTCACTACTTCCAAATGAGAGGGCTTTATTTCTCTTCAACAACAAGATGTTATTTCAAGGGGTGCCTTGTGAAAAAAGGGGTAGCTTACTTGAGGAGTTTCTGAAAAATTACAGTCGTCAGTGGGGAGCCCCATTGAAAGAAGACAGTGATTCGAAGACAGATACGGGTGCCTCTTCTGACTGCTTTGCAGGAGGGCCCTGAGCTTTGTAGTAATAAAGTTCATAGCTCTGTAGTGTGCCTTGCCTACATGACCCCCTCCCCGCCCCACAGCAGAGAAGGACATACAACCCAGAAAGAAACAAGAATGAGTCAGTGAATAGCTGATTAGGTGCAGAGGATAATGAGAGAGGGAGTCGGAGAGGGAGGGCTGGGCCTCCTTACTGTGCGTCTGGAGAGCGCAGGCTACAGCGTATCTGTATCAAAACTCGGCCCAGCAGGAGGTATTGGTCTCCCAGGTAATGGGTAAGTGATGAGCAGATGAGCCGTCTTCCTATCGATTTAAGCGTTTTGTTCCAGCCAGTCACAATTAACTTTGATTTGTTTTTACTTTCCCCTTATAGGTTTGCCTTTAGAACACTCTTGGAGCACTAATGGTCTAAAATTCTGGTAACTGCACATTCTCTTTTTAGCGGGGTAATGAGTGAATGAATGAAAAGGCAGGGATTGCTTGCCATTCTAAGTGGGAATTGCCAGAAGATTTCTACGTGACTGAGCTGTTTTGGAAGGTGAGCTGAAACAAGACTTGCAACGAAAATGGAGGGACTCTGCGTGTGGTTGTCCGATGTTTCTCCTCAGAGGGGAATTCTGCAGAACTGAGCCGGGATTGAGAAGTTGATTTAAATTTTATTTATAAGAGATTATTTAGGTGAATCAGATGAAAACATTTGAAAGTATGTATATTTGACTCTTAACAAGTACATGGGAGTCTTTTGCAAGCTCATTTGAAATTATTTGAAATGAGTTTCCCTGTTTACCATCACACTGTTTTTTCAATACACAAATTGCCATGTTGTGACAAAATAAATCTTTGAAGTGCTTTGGAAAGTTTTTAGAAATGTGCCTAAGGAAACAATATGTAAGCCGTTAGTTAATTCACACATTAATGTATTGAAATATTGCTGCTACTTAAAAGTCCTAGAACTTTTAGCACAATATTCCAGAACATTTATTGCTGGCTTGTTTTAATAAGCTGCTCTTTCTTTACGTGTTTGGAGGTGGCACTAGAGTTGCCCAGGTTTAGCCAATAAAAAGGAAGAACTCCTAGTCAAATTTGAATTTCTGATAAGTAATGAATTTTTTTTTTTTTAGTATAAGTATGTCCTGCAATGTTTGCATTTTTTTTCTGGCAACCCTAGGTGGTACTCTGATTGGGTAGATATTGCAACCATGCATTGACTGGATCATTTAGTTATTTATAAATTATGAATAGTCATTTGTAAGTCACTTTACCTTTCACTGTCAGATTAGATAGGCCAACCAGCTTGCTGCTTTCAAATAGAAACCAAAGGCTTTTTAACTCATTAATGCTGAGCTTAATTTCCCCCTTAAGGTTCCCGGGGCAAGCTGTGACTTGTCATTTCCAGCATCATAATTGCTGCCTGACTAATACAATGGCGCCTTCAGAGGGGTCTGGTTTCCCTACACTGATCAGGCTCTGACTGAGGTGTTTGGTGGTTACAGGGGTAGAGAAACGAATGATGCAATGAGAATATATTATCTTGGCGAAGCCACGTCTGTCCTTCCATTGGCAATATTTTGACTACATAGGGAGCTGAGTTTAAAACCCTTATAATTCTGATCCTGGTAGGGGCTTCTGGGAGGGAAAGTCTATTCCTCACATTTCTATTTTATCTCATTTAAGTTTGTTTACAATAATCTAGTTGCCATGAAAGAAGCTAAGCTAAAACTTACAGAACATCAGATTTATCTTCGGGGCCAGTATCAGTTCAGGCTGCTATAACAAAGTCCCATAAACAGTGTGGTTTATAAACAAGAGGAAATTCTCATAGTTCCAGGACGGAAGTCTGAGATCAGGGTGCCAGCGTGGCCAGACTCTGGTGCAGCCCCTGCCAGGTTTGCCCACATGGTGGAGAGCAGGGCACTTGTCCTTTTAGTTCCATGGAAGGGCACTGATCTCATTCACGAGGGCTCCACCCTCCTGACCTAATCCCCTCCCACAGGCACACCTCCTGATACCATCACATTTGGTGCTGGGATTTCGGCATGTGAGTTTGGGGGAGACACACTCAGTCCGTAACCATTTGTCCCCGTCTGGATGCCTTTTGTCAGATGCTGTCAGTGAGGACTATTTGTAGCACAAACATTTGGAAGGCCTGTTTCCCATCCCCTGAGCCTCCAGCTACTTTCAGCCACAGCTTCAGTGAGTGGACAGTTCCTCCGGGCCCAGGCCTCCAGAACATTTTCTGAATCTCCCTAATTTCTGCCTCAGGGCCTTTTCCAGAACGGCAGAAGCCTGCACACTATGCTTTCTTAAGCTAAGTGTGGCAATGTAGGGGGAGTTCACACCCTCGGGGGCAGCCCCCAATTAATGGGAGGCAGGAGCCTGTGGACAAGTGTTCCAGCCGCGCGCCCTTTGGGCAGGCCTCCTGAGAGGCACGGGGCATGCTTCTCAGAGGGCCCATCTTCAACAGCAGGGACCCGATGAGCCCTCATGGCACCTTCTTTGGCTTTGCCCCAATCCTTCCTCCATTCTCTCCATGCTGTCCATTCTCTCACACCTATTTCTAGTGATAACCAATAGGCATCCCAGTCCTTGCCTCAGGCTCTGCTTCTGGGGGCACCCCTGCCCAGACACTCCTGATGCTCCCAGCACCACAGCTCTCTCTTGCTCTTGGTTTAGAGATTTTGCGTCCTTTGTATCCATCAAGGTTTATTACTTTTCTTAGTATCAGAAGAGAGTTCTGCCGCTGTACCTACCACTAAAGCTGAGTCATATTGGTTACCAAGTATTGCATGCACATTCACCTCACCCGAACTCTCCTTTTCCATAAGAACCACTTTTTACCGAACCCCCAATTTGTAACTTTCCATGCAGTTAGGAGTCCACCTATGTGACAGTTTCTAAAACCTTCATGAGGTTGTTAGTTTTAAACAACCAAAAGGATGAACACATGCAATTTCTTCGTGTGCTTTACTGTTTACTGTTGCTTTCTTGTGGCAACTATAGTAACTGGTAGTCCCTCAAGAGTGAAAGTAGAAACTACCAGAGTCCTAGTGCCACCGCCACTGGCAGGATTAGCCACACCAGTGAAAAATAACAACATTAGATGTAACTCGATCTTTCCATGGTCAGCAATGGGAGCTGAGTTACAAGCAAAAGTAAGTTTTGTGTATTGGATTGCAAAACTGTAAGTGGGAATCTAATGTTTTGCCATTCAACATGTTGGATGGGAACACTTTCAGATCCAATACAAACCAAAGGAACCTCAAAATGTGTATAAATGTCTAAAGGAAACTTTTTAAAAGTTTTTTGTGTGTGTGTGTGTGTGTGCGTGTGCATGAGAACCAAACTTCTCCTTGCCTACAGATTAAGTTATTTTGATTGGCTGAATTTCAATGGATAACTTAAAAAGTAATTATTAATTATTTTTTGTTTAGTTATAAACCAGTTACTATGTCTGAATCCTAATTAGAATTAGGATATATGAATCTCCGCAGCTAATATATAAATAAACATCAATTACACAACTGATCCAATTAGACATATTAGATTCACATACATGTTTACATAGCTAATGCTAACAGTGGGAACAGAATATATCCAGAATATTTCCTAGACCAATTTTAGGAAAGTCCAAGGCATCTTCTCTCAAAATGCCTAAAGCCACATCAGCTATCCAGTCTGTCTACAGATAAACTGTTCTTTGGGTAATGATGCTCAACCAACTTAGAGGTGCTGGATAACTGTCTTAATTTATAAAGATGTATACGTTACCTAACAAGTATTCATTATCATTATTAGGCAGATATTTGTGACATTTAACTTTCACTGATGGAGGGAGTCCTTTCTTTGTATTAATGCCAAATTCTATTTGAATCAGAACTCTGATTTTTGGGGTCTTGAAAGACATAGTCTGAGGAATCCATACCTTTTCATAACAGAGAGAAATAGTTTCTTCTTACACGTATATTGCCTATAGTTGTTGGCAGGGTTGGGACTATTACCAGAAGTTAGAGACAGAGGGGAAAAGCCATGGATCCCCACCAGCTACAATTCAGAGACCAATGAGCCCTCTGGGATGTAGCCCAACAATCTTGTGAGAGAGCCATGCTTTCTTACCTTTAAACCTTGAGCTCAGGAAAGTTGCTTCAATTCTGTTAAGTAAGTGACTTTACTTGGGAATATTGGCCGTTCTCCCCATTTAGAAGCATATCAAGAAGTTAGTGGATTATCATGAAGTGCAAGCTTTGAAAAGCTGACCTTTTGACCATCTTACAAGTCAATATTGAGTCTGATGTAGAAAAGGTCTCCAGTTCTTCTTTATCTATAACAAGAGGCCCGGTGCACGAAATTCGTGCACGGGGAGGAGGGTGGGTCCCTCAGCCTGGCTGGCATCCTCTGGCAATCCGGGTCTGCTGGCTCCTAACCACTCGCCTGCCTGTCTGCCTGATCACCCCTAACCACTCTGACTGCCTGCCTCATTGCCCCTAACCACTCGCCTGCCTATCTGATCGCGCCTAACTGCTCGCCTGCCTGCCTGATCACCCCTAACCACCTCTGCCTTGGCCCCTGCTGCCACAGCTTCGTCTGGAATGAAGTTCAGAAGGTTGTTCAGCTGTCCAGACTAATTAGCATATTATGCTTTTATTATTATAGATAATAAAAGCATAATATGCTAATAAGACTGGACATCCTTCCAGATGTCCTTCCTTTTGGATGAAGCCACAGTAGGCTGGGGCCCAGGCAGAGGTGGCAGAGGCCCGGGCCGCAGTGGTGGCAGGCGGGGGCCAGGACTAAGGCCCTTGCACGAATTTTGTGCATCAGGCCTCTGGTGTGAATGATAAGTGGCATGGCCAGGATTACTGGGTGAGTGTTTTGTCCTTGGAGCTCTCTGCTAGAGAGTTAGGCAGAGTCCGACCAGCATACGGGGTCCCTACATTTGAGTTGTTCTTTGGTTAACAGCATCCTTCCATAACTTCTGCTTGTCACCAGGGACCTGATTGTCTTATCACATAATCAGCTCTTTGACTAATAGTCTAGTGTTCTTAAAGAGGTTTTGACTTTATATCCAGGCAATAATTTAGGCACTGGTAGGATCTATATTATTAATGGTTATTTTATTATTTACTTATTCTCTAAGTGTACTATTCTGTAAATATTCCATTATTATGTAATATGATACTTAGTATAGTACTTAGAGAATAAGTGACCAATACATAAAATTAGCCCACTATAAATATTATACAATTTGCAAACAATGCTCTGGTAGAATAAAGCAGGCTTCAGAAAACATGATTTCCCCACACACTCTAGTTACATGAACTTGAATAGTCGTATTACTTCTCGGACTTCCTTTCCCTAATATTTTAAATAAAGGAATTGAAACAAATGATCTCTAATTTTTCCCCAGCTCTATGGTCTATGTACTTGTTGAATGATGATTAAACACATGTGTAATAATAAAATAAGACCGGACAGCCGAATGACCTTCTAGATGTCTTTCCGGACAAAGCTGGGGCTGCAAGGTCTGAGGCAAGCCGCTGTGACTGTTAAGGCCGAGCCCCTTGCACAAATTTCATGCATCGGGCCTCTAGTAACTACATAAGTTCTATAATTGGAAGGATATGCTTTCTTTTTCTTGACTATTTCAAATTTTAACAAGCTTCATTTAGGTAGGGTTCTGCAGAACTCTAAGAATACATTGTTTGCCTAAAACTTTTTGTTTATTGATGGGTAGGTACAAAACAATTAAGAATTTATAAAATGATTCAGCCTTATTCTCATGTGTCAAAAATCCAGCAATATAAATGAACACTTGCTTTATTTAGAAAAGTGTGCACAGGCTTTTGTGAGCTTCAGGATGATAACAAGGTGTTAGAATCATAGAATGTGGAACCATAGATTTATGTTTGGTAGACTGCCAGAAACTACAGGGTCGAAAGAACATGTCGATTTATGTAGATTCTCAGGATTTTGTTACCCAGTCTCAGGCTGTTTGATCGTTTTGGGGATTCATATTCTATTTCTAATTCTTAACCTCAGACTAATTCTTTGAATAAAAATATGATTGACTAGTAGGTTAAGAATGCAGATCAGAAAAAGTTAATTTGTCTGACCAAAACTAAGAAAAAATGAATTTTAATATGTCCTATATTATTTGGAACACCTAAAAAACACCCATTCATCAAATGTGAAAATGTGTCAGGAATTTATTTTAAGTTATTCAACTATTAATTTTTATATTTTACATCCACAGCTTATTTATTGTTTTGTAATTTCTACATCTTTGAAGTGGGTCACTTTTATCAATATTTCACACCTAAGATTTAATTTATTCTGATATTTTCTATTGAGCAAAGTTTACACTGTTATCAATAATGTTGTTTGGCAGTTAAATGCTTTAAATTATCTTCTTATAAATACATATTATATACCCTATCTATATTGTGCCTTTATAATTATAAACCACTTATCATTATACTGTATCCATAATAAGGCAACATATAGTATTAATACCATGCTAAATATTTGTAATTTCCAGAGACTCAAATACCTAATAGATGAAAAGTGGGCCAAAAGGAAGATTAAAGGAGACATTCTGGACTCCTTTAGCGAGAAAACATTCAAAAATTGATTTGATATCAAATTTAAGGAGAAACTATGCCAATAAGAAAATGCACTTTTTCAGAATTAAATCCAGCATTTGTTACTTAATAACATTTGCCATTTCCAATTTTTCATATGTAGCAAATTAATTTAAAACCATTTTGCTCTTCCAACTGCCTTTGTGTATTGTGTTTCTTTTTTCATACTCTCTTGGATAACATTTGAGAAAAACTAAGACTACAACAGTCAATGGTTACCGTCAGGATGGGAGACAGTTGTAAGGCCAAGGAACAGGTGGAGTGTGTGTGATGAGAATATTCACTTTCTGTGCCACCATTTTGTAGCTGCTCAAAAAAAAATTTTTTTTTTTTTTTAGCAAATGGTGGATATTGTTTCTTTACAAAAAAATGGTTCTGTACTGGATCCATCTGCGAAGTATAAACATGTCATCAGCACTCATTTTCCATCTCCAAAAAACAGTCCCCATGTCCATATTTGATTTTCAAGTGCATCTGTGCGCTGATGGAAGCCCTCCCAACATGCTGCCACACAATTGTAAAACCCACACGCTTCTGCCTTTGAATCCAGCTCTCACCAGGGCCCGGCCTCCCCTGGGCATCCGCGTGTTTCGAAGTTGCAAAGGTCCTCTGGGTGACCCCAATAAAAGGAGCTTCAGTGTCCCTGATAAGGCTACGTTATTCCTTTCAGGGAGCTGATTTGTGTCCATGAAGTTTTTTCCTACTTTGCTTCAAAAAAATATATATTTTTTTGGTATCTTAGAATTTCTCTCTTTGTGCCCACACGATGCTTCCCTAGTTATGAGTGCTTGCACTATCGACTTTCTCAATGACTACAGTCCCATTTAAGAAACGAAGTGGAAATCTTCATATGAGTTTGGTTCCTCAGAAAGTTTAAGTAGCAAAAGCAGGGAGATTGCCTCAGAAAGTTGAAAGGCAAGCATCTGAATTCTATGAGCCCTTAACGTTATTGATAGTCGCATAATCTAAAACAAAACAGCCCTGAAGAATTTCATCTCTTCATAGACACATTCAGAAGGGCCCCCCTTGGTAAAGGAGGAAATTTTATTTTACTCCATTGTTTTCCCTACACAGAACCAGAGGTACCTTCGCTAGGGAGCAATGGAGGAAGCCTGGCCTGTCATTTTTAATCAGGTTGTTTTAGGTAATTTTTGTTATGCCCCTCATTACTGGATTGTTTATCAATAGGTGCAGCAAGTGTCACTAGCTTTTCTCATCAAACCAGGTCTGACAAAGCAGCACAGTGCATGGGAAAGAGGCAGCTAGGTGAAACTAATGCCATAGATGTTTGATTCATTAGGAGCTTATTGTTAACGGGGATGTCTGATTGTAAAGGCTCAGTCAAGCAAAAGAGTGCAGAGTAATCAGTTGGATTTATAGTTTGCAGGGCTCAGAAAAAAAAATCAACATAAACCTTTGGATATAGCAGAAACAGAAAAATCCCCTTTGGGCAGCCCTAACCTGGCACCAGCCAAATAAGGTCATGCTACATGAAGGTTTCCTGTTAGGTGATGGGAGATAGAGGCGGATTAGAGCCATATGGCACGGCCTATCATACCTTCTGACTTAAGATAACAAAGCCAAGCTTTGTGCTTAGCTGTTTTTGACTGACATCATCAATTTTATTTTATGTTGGTCACCTCCGGTAACAGGAAAAAATGGCCTAGGGTTGATAATACATGCTTTTTTTTTTCTCCTTTTAGTATTAAGATGCCTAGAAGCTAGTTTTGTGCCGTTATAAATTTCAAAGAATTAGTAGCTTGCTCTTCTATCACCCATCCTCCGGCAACCGTCAGCCCCACTCCCCCTTGTTTTCAGTTTGTACCTTGCAAATGAGAGGCAGCCTTATTCAGAACCAGATGTAAGGCTCCTAGAGAATGAGCATAAGCTGGTGTACTTTAAGCCTAATGGGAAGTTTTATATGCAAGGGCCTTGAACTGATTAGTATAATTCCCTCTTTAATACAGCTGTCCCTCCAGATTAAGGTAAACCAAATGTTGCAATCAGAGATTAGTGTACCTTGCCAGTTATTAACATCCCCAGTGCTCAGCAAGCACGTCAGACGCTAATGCTGTGTATTTATTTGCCACTTCCCCACTGTAACTTGAACTTCTGCACCTGTCAAAGCATTCCAGCGAAGAGAGGGGCATTATTGGAAAGCAAAAGTTTTATACCTGTACACCTGTTTTGTTTTGTCACAGCTTAGCTTTGCTTCTGGCATGCCAGGACTGCCAGGTGCTTTAATCTGCTACTCTTCGGGTTTTGTAAAGAGAGACTTTGTGGGCTAAATTGCATTTGTTGCTTTCACATGCTTTCCTTTATGCAACTGGAGAGCTGCTCACCTAAACTGGTGGCGGGTGTGCATGCACGTGTGTGTGTGTGTGTGTGTGTGTGTGTGTGTGTGTGTGTTTAGAAAAGAGGTAAAGGGAGGGTGAGGTTTCTTTCCCAGATGACACACCGTATCTTCGGTGCTCCTCAGCTTCAGCGGTGTCTGAAGTCACAAGGTGGGTCTCACAGCTGTACTATACTTGGCAGGATATCCTGCTTTCTTGCAACCCAGATGTCAAGAAAGACAAAGTCCTGGCTATCTCAGAAAGATCTGGCTCTGTTTCTTTCCCTCCTCGGCCCCCACCGGGGCACACTTGGACTTTAGGGCTGAGCACATACAATAAGCACACCGCAGCAGCTTGGGGCGGTGGTCAGGGTGGGCTTTCGGTAACATTTGGTCCAGTCTCAGTGCTTCCTGATCCTTTTTCATCAATGTGACATATGGTCCCTGCAAGTAAAGGGAAAATAATGGAAAGTTTGAAGAAGAGGCCTCGCGGTTGCTGAATAAAGTGTCTTTGTGATTTTTATCAGCATCTTTATTTACTCAGAGGTTGAGCATCAAAAAAAAGGGCTTTCTGTGAAAAAAGCATAGTTTGCTAAGGAACCAAGAGGGTCATCTCAGGGTTTGATTTTTTATTTAGCTTTTCACATTTGGGGTTTAAAGCACATAGCTATGCTGTTACAGAGCAGTCACCTGAGGCCACAGCCCTGGGGCAGCACCAGGCCCCCTGAGTTCTGGCACAGACCGGAAGGAGCCACAACTCCTAGCTAACCCGGGACTCTGGAGGCTGTGCCTGCTCAGGTTGGGATCTGTGCTCGGGGAACTTTCTTTCCTTCTCCCTCCTTTCCCCACCTCCATCTCAGTGCCCGCACGTCGATTGCCTGCTGCAGAGTTTCTCCATATGATGGTTTAATTGCAGATTTTTAAAAAAGACAAAAATATGTTCCTATCTTAGGAATTATGTCTTGCAGCCTACTAAATATGCTAATGCAGCACTAAGCAGGGATAAAGTTCTTGCCATCCCCCCCAACAGTTGCGCCGCGCCCGCTGCCAAGCGATTGTTAATTGTGAAGCACAAGCAGGCTTTGCAATCCATCTTAATTGTCATACTTACTTCAGGTTTCGTGATAAGGCTCGACGTTCTGTTTAAAGTGACGATGTTGACAAGGGGAAAGGGCGTGGGCCCGCGCCTGTGGTTCTGCAGGGGCCGCGCGCTCTGACCTGCCCCAGGTTGATAGGGACGGTGTGAGAGGGGATTGGAGTTGTCATGGGGTCCCCAGGCGGTTGCCCGGAGAGCCGGTCTGCCCGGCTTTTTCCTGTTCGGATCCCACCACGTGGGGCATTGATGAACTCAGCACCAGGCTGAATGGGAGCTTTTTGGCAGCTGAGACACTGGGGCTAAGCTGCAGGTCAGAGATAACACCGGCGCGGGGCTCCTCCTGCACGCGGGCCCTGCGCGCTTTCTTCCCTCCCGAGCGCAGGAAATGGCTCCTGGTAAATGCGTCCACTCTGCAGTGTTCCTTTCTTCTAAAATGGGGCTTGACAGATTGGACTTTTCAGCTCCCCCACTGTTTCACCACCTCTGCTCTCCACCTCAGAAATACCCTCCAGGAAGCAGGAGTTAATCTCGGTGAGGAAACGATAAGGTGATGCTGGATGTTCAGGGGGAAGCAGGAGGATGGGCTGCCTGGCTGCTGCGGCCCAAAGAGCCCGGTAGCTCCCACCTTGGAGGCTGTGCCCTCCCGGAGCTCAGGCTCGGGACCCACCAGAAGAGGCTCCCCGGCGGCGCCCCCCCCCCCCCCAGCGCGGTGTGGCGTTAGGGCACAGGAAGAACACACTCGTGGCAGCGCTGACTTTTACAGACAGGCTCTCTGGTCCTGATGGGGCCTCCCCCTCCCAGGGTGCATGGCTGCTGCCACCCAAGTGCTGCTGCGTGGTCTGGCATGCGACAAAGAAGCTGGTAGCAAGACTTACTTGAATAGTCTCTGGCCAGCAGGCTATGTTCACACAAAAGTGATGCAGAGAGAATCCCCTCTGGTTTTGAGTGTCTGCCCTACATTTGGGCTGTTGAAGCTCCATGTAAAGGAAAGGTATTTGACATCGATTCTCGTGTGGTATTGATTAGTGAGTGTGAAACTAATACATCGAAACTGCCTCTAAACCAAGTCGAATTCTGACTCTGGGCGCAGGCATGCGGCCTCTGTGAGGTCTGCAGTGTTCTTTTCTCTGTTTGAGTACTTGATGCAGCCTGAAGGGGAAGGGATGGGCATGAGTACAGGCCGTGTGTATGTGTGTGTGTGTGTGTGTGTGTGTGTGTGTGTGTGTGTGTGTGAGTGAATGCGCACGTGGTGAGAGGGTATGGGAATGGGAAAGGGAGATGGAGTGGAGAGAAGGGCATGGGAATGGGAAGGCTTTCTGGTCAAAGTTCAATACTCGCCAGAGAATAAAGGGGCTGTGGGTGGAAGTGAGAGTAACAGTACGTTCCTAGGGCTAACACCTTGAACAGGCAGCGCTGCGATGCTGCCCTTTGATCTCTGTCACCTCTTACCAATTCTGTGCACCCTTTCTGTCCTCCTAGGGCTAAGCAGAGAGAGAGAGAGAGAGAGAGAGAGAGAGAATGTGAGCCAGCGAGATGCATAAGAGCCAGAGATGGTGAGTCAGTCACCCAGAGGAGAATGACTCAGCGTTGGAACTCCATCAGCGTCTGCTCTGATGCAGGTGGTGGCACCAGGCCTGCCGTAATAAAACAGTTTTCAGTCCTCTCCATCCACTTGTCCTCTGCAGCCTGCATCTTCTTTGAGTTTGCACTGCACTCATTTCTGGACTTATTCAAGATGCCTCTCTGGCTACCACTGGTGGGGCACTTCCTAGGACCTTTGAATTTCCCTAAGTTTAACTTCAGTGAAAGTAGCTAGAACAGGACCCCAGTACAATCACCGATACACAGTGGATGCTGGGTAAATCCTCAGCGTTCCTCCTTGAAGAACGACGCCAGTTGAATTTCTCGTGTACCGCCTCCTCTGGCTGTGTTGGTCAGCTGTGGCACTGCCTGAGGGAATTGGAGTGCTTGGAAGGAACTCCTATCCTGAACAGAAGGTTTAGGTTCAGTTGTGTTTTCTATCTGTATGGTCCAGACACAGCGTGAACATTTGAATTGACCCCAACTATTCTAATCCTAGAATATGTGGGAGACAGCAACCTCCACAGTGCAATGTTAAGAGCCTGGATGCTTGTCCTCCAAGTATCTCCCCTGCTTAACAATGGCACCTGTTAACATTCCTGACATTTCATTTAGGAGAGCAATTCCTGTAAGTAAAAGCATGTTTTTCTTGATAGTCTTCTCTATAAATGCAATTAGGATACTTGAGGGAGGCCACCTTTAATTATGTGAATAATGTTGACAAGTGGAGAGAGAAAAACTGGATGCAAATGGCAGGTGAGTGGAAGTTTATTAAGGATGATACCACTCTTCAACCACAGAATGGGGCAATGGGTTTGCTTTGTATTCCCCCAAATAATTTCGGATCAAGAAATATAGAGAGCAGAAGAGTGTTGGTCAGCTTTGTGGAACAAACAGAGTTTAATTTTGGGTCCATTTTTTTTTCATTAAGACCACTAATTCTTGATCACCCTACCCCAGCCCTTGAGAGAAACTGCTTGTGCCTATGTTAGCTTGGCCTATTCAGAATCCTTCACCTTGGAGATGGAAGGCTAGGGATTGTCAGGCGTTTTTCTACTGTAGATGGTATTTTCACATATTGGCCGCTTCCCTGGGTATACCTTGCCTGTGGTACAATGAGCATTCTATTTAAACCTTATTGTAAACATGTCTCCTTTTAATAGACATACCTTTTCCTGAGATTCTTCAGTGTCCCTTTGGAAAGGCACATCCTTTTCCTTTGTTCATGTTCTTCACATCCCATCACTGGGTGAGTTGCTGCCTTAAACAATACCCTAATTATCTGGGTGCTATTTTCCCACATAGTTTGTATGCCCTTGCCCTTTCTCCAAGAGCCTTACTCCCTGTAAGTATGTTTATGTGTGTGTACGTATAGGTTGTGACAGTGGATTTCTATGCATACATATATATGTGTATATATATGCATGTGTGTGTATATGTGTGTGTGCATGAAATTAGCCCATCCCATGTGTTTTGTAACAGGTTTAGGTTAATGGTTGTTTTAAACACTGAAGACTGTTAAGTCACCAATGAGCCTTCTCTTCTTTGACTTTATAATCTTAAACCTTTAAGTTTTCATCATGTATCACATGATTTTTGTCATTGGCTTTGTTCTTGTTTTAAAAAGTGCGTGCTTTAATTTTTTTCTGACTGCAATAATCTTACATTCTTATTGTAGACTATTTGGAAATACAGAAAATTATGGGTAAGAATAAACTTACCCATAATTCCACCATCTATAGTTAACCATTGTTACAACTTTTCTACCTCTTGACTTATTGTTGTAGGTATTGAGAATGCATGGGTTACTCCATAATTTTTAATTTTTTTCCCTTTCCTTTTCAGACTTTCAACTCTCCAAGTTCTCCCCATTCCTTTTATGTTGATGAGTCCCAAGTGGGACCAATATAGCACTCCAGTATCTAAAGCTAGATCTGACTTGTATTCTGGGAAGGTTAGCTCACAGCCTCTACATTCTGTATTTTGAACTTCTTAATATGCATTTTCCTGCTCTGAATAAGTGATTTATTTTGTGATCTTTGTTAATACTTCTTTTTAAGCTTGAAACAAAAGAATTTATCTAAAAATAACCAAAGACTGTTATCCAAGACTTTAAAGTAGCATGAGCTAATAGGTTGACACCTTTGATCCTTAGGTAAAAAGTTACAGTTCTTTTGTTGGTTTTCTGCAAAAGGAGGAAGTTGTGGCAAATTACTCAGTTAAATGCTATTTTATGCATGAAGGAACCTGCTTTTGACAGCTAATAAACAAGTTGCAACATTTTTTTTGTGTAAAGTAGCTTATCTATTTAACATTTATTTATTGAACTAATCCCTACTATGTGGCAGGCACTGTTCTAGACATGGGGTCTCAGGGGTAAATAAAACCAACCAAAACACACCCTTGTGAGAACTTACCACTTTAAAATAAAGTAGTTGAACTTTTTTACTTTCGACTTAAATTCCCACTTCATTTTCCAAATTCGGTGTCAGTTTTGAAGCATGTGGGGAAAGTGCTCTATTATTACAATATTACTATATCAAATAATCTCTCCTTCCAGAGATATCTCTCATTCATTATTCTCCAAGTTCCACTTTTTCAGTTGGCAAACAAATATAGTGGCAAAGACCAATTTTGAGTTAAAAGAAATGTCTTTGATTTTAACATATGTTGTTTTATTGAGGAAGGTGGTAAAAAAACAAAAAATGAAACAGGAGGGGAAAGAGTGGATATGTTCTTACTACTATTTTGACAAGTGAATGCAGGAGGTAAAATTAGGAGGGGTACTTTATTTTCCTGTAGAGGTGACAGTTATGTATTTGAGATTATGAATTTTGCCACTTAGCTTGAAGAATAATAGAAAAATAACTATTAGTAGCCAAGCAAAGAAATAATGTGAGGCAGAAAACATAAGCCAAAACTTTGTTATTTAAACAAATGTGTAGCCCATGGAGTTTCTACTAGACACGAGGTCACTGAAGATAGAAAGAAGTATGTAGAAGTTAAGAAGTGAAGCAGAAATTGGTTTTCTCAGTGGTTTTATTACCCACTTGTTTCAGTTTGAGTGTGTTTTCAGTAGTTTGTCAATCAGACATCAAGAGAGATGCATTTTACAGATAGGATTGGACAAGTTTTTATCAGAATCTAGGCCATGCCGTAGGCAGTTAGAGGGTGAAATGGAAATATAGAGTTTAAATGGATACTACATGAGAAATTATCCTGAATTCTTGAGTTTATGTGTAAGAATGGAGTCTTTGTTACTTTTTTTTAGAGGTTGATGAAAAAAGTATGTGTTATAACTCAACCAAGAAAAGAAGAGTGTACATTGAAGACAAGAACTTGTGCAGTTAAATAAGTCAATCTGTGGGACAGAATATAGCTGATGAGTAGTGACTGAAGATGCAGACTGTCATCTAGAAGGGTTGACCAAATTATTCACAAATGCTGGAATAGTTGGAAGAAGAAAGAAAAAAAAGGAGGGAAGAAATGAAGGACAGAAAGGTGAAAAAAAGCAAACAAACAAGGGAAGACTATAATGGATTATATTAAAGCATAATTATGTTGGAGTTTCAATACTAGCTGATCACTAGGGAAAAATGATAGTCTTTAGGTGGAGTTGTGTAATGTACATCTATAATTAGTTGGATATGGGATAATCTAGGAACAAAGGATATAATAAAATTATGTTTACTAGGAACTATAGGAAATCCTTTCCAGCTTAAGTGATACTTTGTGGAAAAAGATCTAGAGACTCTAAGTTTATCTTTTAATCCAGTTTTTATCCTTATTTTAGCATGGTATACTTAGTTTTAAAAAAAGGTAGGCTAAAATCAACCCTTGATTTTGTTTCAAATTCCACCAGACTCTGTCCCTGTCATATCTCAAAACAAGTCACAATCTACTTGCTCATTGAAGATTTTCTTTCTTTTGTGAGATGAGATACAATACTATTCAGAAACCTATAGAGACATGTATTTTTTTATTACTTATGACTATGAGCATAGTCTTGACATGTCAGAAAACAGAAAAAGTGTCCTCACATTTGGAAAAAGTATACAAAACACCCAGCATAGTGTGCTGCACCCATGCTTTGTCTAATATTAATTGACTAGAAGCCCGATGCATGAAATTTGTGCAAGAGTAGGCCTTCCTTCCCTCGGCTGCCAACACTGGCTTCCCATGCAGCCCCGGCTTGGTCCGGAAGGTCTTCCGGAAGGACAGCCGGTCTAATTAGCATATTATACTTTTATTATTATAGCTGTTGATGAGAGAGCACATGTCACTAACAAGAACCTCCTGCCTAACTCTGGGTCTTCAGAGGCCTGAAGACTTTTGTGAGCTGGAATGATGCCATGTTGTGGTAATTCCTTATGTTTAGAATAAATGGAGAGAGAGTTTTCCTTTTTAAAAGCAGAATTACTGATGAATTTAGTATGATATATATTGCATGTATTAATTCTTCAATAGTTTCTTAATTCAGAAATCTTTTTAAAAAATTAAAAATATAGACTGCATGCTCTATGTCTCCAATATATATAGTGAGTATATGCATTAGTGTGTATATCTATATAGATATACATATACATATACATATACATATACACACAGAGTATGTATGCATACTGTGCAATATGAAATTTAAAAATAAGAAATGAAAAGATATTATTTGTACTTTAAAAAGAATCAATGTCTTAGAACAAAAGAAATGGAAATCTTTACAATTATTTTATGTTCAGTATTCACTGATCAATGAGTATTCATAAAATATCTACTGAATAAAAAGATGAAGAAGGCACCATTATATCCTCAGAGAACTTTTAATCTGATGGGTTAAAGACAATCACAATGCAAAGCACACCACTATTTGTATAAGATAGCCAAGGAACACTGAGATGAAAATAACAAAAATATCTAACCCTGAAGAGTCCTTATTATGTGTCAGGTGCTATATGATATATTTTAAGTGTGTTGACTTACTTGATCCTCACAACAATTTTATCAGTTATAGGTACTCCTACCACTTCCCCACCCCCTCCACCTCCGACTTTCCAGGTCAAGTAGCAGAGAATTATAGATATTAATAAGTTACAAGGTAGGCCTGGGAATTGAGTGTTTGACCCTAGAGATAGAGATGTCAACCATTATACGCCACTGCCTCCTAGGGGATGGGGAGAGAGAAATTACCTCTGATTGGGGAGGGGTCAAAAATGATCTCTTGAAAAGAGACCCTTGAGCCAAGTCTTACAGGATTAGTAGGATTATGGCAGGTATAGCAATGGAGAGGGAAGGCCAGTTAGAGAACAATGGTGGAGGGGGCAGAGTTCAGGCTTGGGCAACACAGAGCCTAGTGCAGCATTGGGAATACTCAAAGGGTGCAGTTGAGAGGTGGGGCAGTTGGGGGCTGAAAAAGAGAGAGGAGGGCGAAGGAACTTGGTCTAAATTCAGTAGGAGCTAAGTATAAAATAGAGTAAAAGAATCATAATAAAAATCCAAAGAATGAATGTTAGTAAGGGGTAAATCATTATGAGGAGAGTTTCAATCAGCAAAGCCTTCTTAGAGGAACTGGATATTAGACTAGGCTTTCAAGTTGATGGGAATGTAGTAAATAAAGCCTGTCACCCACCTGGAATACTATGATTTTAATAGGAGACTAGAACATAGGAAAAATGAGGAAAGCTGATAAAAGTCCATTTTTCATGCGTCTGCTGAGGGACAAAGTTAAATAAATAAATTCCCACCTCAGGCACCAGAGGAGGCAGAATAGAAGTGTTGCCCCCAATCATCTCCACCTCAGTTAATGGTTTACCATCCACTCTGCTGTTCAAGTGAAAAACATGACTGTTATTTTGATCCATTTTCTTCCACTCACTCAAAAATACGTCCTGAATCAGCCATGGTTTGATTTCTTTTTATTAGGTTCCCCGTAGAGCTGGACACCCAATGTGCTGTTTGAAGGCCTCAATCAGATCAAGTCACTTCCTGATTTAATATCCCCCAATAGCTGCCCACTGCTTTTAGAACACATTCCAACCTCCAAATCCCTCAAACTTCCAGGCTTGCTTTATTTTGCCTTTCATTATGCATCAGCCTTCCTGCCTTTCTTCTGTTCCTTAGACTCAAAAGCTCATTCTCATTGTAGGGCATTTTTACTCTTTTATTTTTATTTATTTATTTATTTTTGTGGGGTGGGGCTGTCTCTCTTGTAACAGACAATTAGCTCAAATATCCTAGCCTTCCCCTGGACAACCAACCTGATTTGTTAAGAAGCGGGTCACTGTCTTTGTATTTAGAATATTTTATTCAACTCAGTCTTTATCCTTCTACCCAATTATACTTTCTTCAGAGTTCTTTTAATTTCCTGAAATTATCTAAACCAATATCTGTCTATGTCTGTCTCTCCCCAGAATAATGAAATGAATTTTGGCTCAAGAGAAAAGGACTTGCTTTGTTTTATCCAGTGCTGCACACTCAGTGCCCAGCAAAGAGCTTTGGAAGTAGTAGGTGCTCAATAAATTGTTGTTAAATGGATGAAGAATGAATAAAAAGAATGGGAGTGAGGATGGCTTGAGTAACGGGCAGAAGATTATGTTTTATCCAATAAATGAAGTAGCTTGTGGAATAAGTCATGTGGATAATATTTCTAACTTTGCCCTATTTCAACAATTAACCAAGTTGCTTTCTTCTTTGCATACCAGTTTATTGATGGTTGGTAGGTGGACTAAAAGGCTTTCGTGTTACAGGGGAAAAAACAAGCCTGAGATTTGAAATTAAAAAAAAATGGAGTTAGTTAATCCACGGGGTGGGTGAGAGCTCAGCCAGAATGCTCTTTGGAATCCAGACAATTCAGTGACAGTGACACTCTGGTACAAGTGTTGGCGGGGGGGTCAGATGAGATAAGTTTGTGACATGCGCAGTCACTCTCGATGGGTTTGGTTTTAGACCAGCCGTGGGCAAACTACGGCCCAAGGGGCCAGATCCAGCCCGTTTGAAATGAATAAAACTAAAAAAAAAAAGACCGTACCCTTTTATGTAATGATGTTTACTTTGAATTTATATTAGTTCACACAAACACTCCATCCATGCTTTTGTTCCGGCCCTCCGGTCCAGTTTAAGAACCCACTGTGGCCCTCAAGTCAAAAAGTTTGCCCACCCCTGTTTTAGACAGTATTACATGGCGACATTTAAATCTGCATGGGGAATGCTCCCAGTTCCCTTCCTAGCAGGTATAGGATTGCACCTTCAACAAATATGGGTATCTTTTGTCCAGTGTAGTTCTCCACTATCTTAACAGATGGAGTTTATTTTCCAGGAGAAATAGTGATTTCTAGGCAAGGAAGGGTTGTAGGAGCTATTTATGTTTACTTTTTAAAAGGAGTACCTTCCTGGCAAGAAAGCAAGTAAATAAGCAAGCCGACTCCACAGCTTTCTTGGAAGGAGTCAGCGCGGCAGGTATGGGAGAACTCCTCTGGCCAGCCCTCGCTTCCCTGTGCTTTCCTCACACTTGCGTTGGCACAGTTGGTGGAGTTTATTATTAGCCGCATGTCCTACAAGCCATTCATTCACAGAATATGGCCCTGGGAGAGAAATCTCCATGTGAAAATAAAATTGTCATTGTTTTTCATTTGCTTAGGGGGGCATTTCACATAAAGGAAGAACAACCCTACATAGAAAAGACCTCAATTCAGAAAACAAAACAAAAAGCAAAGGTGAGGGGAGAGAGAGACAGATGTTCTCAGTGGAGTCAGATTGGAACTGAAAAATGAAGATTTTGTTTCGTGCAAAGCTGGTTGCCTTGCCAGTCTCAAGCTGGCACTGTGGGCCTGCTGGAGCTGCTGAGCCCGGCTGAGGAAAGGAGACAGTCTGCTTAGCCTCCCCATGTGTCTCAATATGTTTTTGATTTTGTATTTTAAAAATAAGGTGAATGATCTCGAAAGAAAACCATTGCAGGTGATTTTATTCTTTGCTTTTTCTAAGGGACAATTAAAAGGCAATCCTGGTCCTATTCCAGAGATTTTCTCATTTCTTAGTACAACTGTAATTTAGGCACATAGAATAGTGCAATGGTGTTATTAGATATTATCGTGTTTACTTTATTCATGAAAATGTGTGACACACCTTATTTGTATTCTTTTTGAGGAAATGTCCTGGAGTGGGTTTTGTCCGAGTTCCTTTTTGTGCCTGTCATAAGGTGTGTGTTAGAATGTTAGTTCCTAGGAATAAGAATAGCATTTCTTTTTTTTGAGAAAGCATAATGATTTTGAGCTTTGAGGAGTTTCAATGGGCTATTGTTACAATGCTCCAGCCTACCAAATCCCACTGTGACACACTTCCTACCTCCAATGGCAGATATTTATATTTCAAATTAAATAAAACTATAATTAATTTTCTTTGGAAAAAATGTTTGGAATGTTGTTTCTTCAGGATCTAGGGGGTAATTGGAGATACCCCAGGCTATTGCAAAACCAGGGCTGGCGATCACTGCTTTAGTGATTAGCACTTTGTAAGCCTTTGAAAAATATTAAAACCAGGAGAGATTGTCTAATTTCTGGTGGGTGGATTCACATTAGTATAGTATAATGTGTTAACAAATACTCAGAAAGGAGGCTGTGGATCCAGGAAGATGGCTTTTGCAGAAGGCTTTTATCCAAATTAATTCAAAGAATAACAGGAACCATTGTGTATTGGGGCAGAAGGAATAAGGTGACTCAATTAAGCGATAGAGAAATCTCCAGGAAAAAAAAAATTGTCTCATGTCAACCCAATACTAACAATAAAATTCTCATTACTGAAATCGATAATCCTCTAATAAATGCATAATAACTTCAAAAAGGATTGTAAAGTATTTTTGTATGATTAAATATGCACTAAATATGGAAATGAAATACTGCTTTTCTTTAAGAATGATAAGGTTCTCTTCCATGTCTCTAAAGAGTATCTTAAATGAGAAGGATCAAAAGAGTAATTTGAAATAAATTCACCTGCTGAATTTGTGCCTGAACTGACTACATTTACCTAATTTATTTTTGGCTTTTGCTTAGCTCTAACCACGGTGACATGGAGAAACTAATGCCACAGTCTCCTGGGTTGCTGGGAGGTTTGTACCAGGCAGCAGTGAGCAAGTGAGGTGGTGCGTGCCCAGTAGGGGGTCTTGCTCAGTAGGAGGTCTTTGGAGTTGGACTTAGGCAGAGCGTGAAGAACCACTGGGCAGTCTGGCTCGTTGGTACCACTAACCTGTTGCTATTTTATAGATCCAGGAAAACAATCTGATCCCTCTCCACATTCGGATTGAGCCCAACACACTAGTAGTGGTGGATTGAGAGAGTTCAGAATCCACTTATTTGATACTAAAACCTAGATTGGGCCCTGACCGGTTTGGCTCAGTGGATAGAGTGTCGGCCTGCGGACTGAAGGGTCCCAGGTTCGATTCCGGTCAAGGGCATGTACCTTGGTTGTGGGCACATCCCCAATAGGGGGTGTGCAGGAGGCAGCTGATCGATGTTTCTTTCTCATCAATGTTTCTAACTCTCTATCCCTCTCCCTTCCTCTCTGTAAAAAATCAATAAAACATAGTAAAAAAAAAAAAACCCAAACAAAACAAAACAAAAAAAAACCTAGATTGGCCCTGTGACTCTCAGGAATAGAGTCAGGACATTTAGTAGTGTTCAGAGATACACAGTTCATAGACCTACAGCTGAATCTGCAGTTTGCAAAGCAAAGTAAGTAAACAGGTAGACCGAGAGAGGATATGCAGCCCTGAAAACACTTCTGCTTTGTCTTTTGGCAGAGATGCCTGGTGTGGGCTTCCTGAGTTTTTTGCCTGGTGTTCTGCAGGAAAAGTCGCATTCCAGAAGATAGGCTGGCCTGTCATCCTGCTTCTGAAATGTCTAGAGGTGCTCTGACATCTAGAAGTTTCCTTCCCCAGCCTGTTTTCCTGAGATAATCCCCACCACCTGGTTGATAACACAGGTCACATCAGGCTAACACTTGGGTAGTCTTGCATACATGCATACATTCTCCCTGTAACTTTTTTTGAGAGAAGAGAAGTCCCTATTTCCTTTAAAAGAGGATATATGTCAATAAAGCTGAGAGAGAGATGGGGGGGGGAGGGAGAGAGAGAGAGAGAGAGAGAGAGAGAGAGAGAGAGAAGAGGAAAGAGAGAACTGGATGGATGGATGGAGGAGAGGAGAGGAGAGGAGAGGAGAGGAGAGGAGAAGAGAGGGGAGGGGAGGGGAGGAAGGGAAGAGAGGACATCTAACATTAATATAGAAAGGGATCCCTTTCACTTTGAACCTCTACTTATCTTTACCATCTAGACCTACAGGTACAAATACAAGTGAAGTCCAACTTCAGAACCACAATAATGCTATGATCCTGAAGATCCCAGTCTCTGGATACTTTTCACTCATTTATTTATATATATTTCTTACTGCTGTTCAATTTTCATTCATGTGGTTTACCTCTTAGCTCTCTTCTATTTTTGTATTTATTTCTTATATTTTAGGATTTGGGGTCCAAGATACATTGCAAACTTGAGGGAGAATAAAACTAGATACGTTGATGAAAATAGCCATTTCCTTCCTAGGCCAGAAGCACTTGGAAGGGGAGCAGTGAACTTTCTGGGTGGCTCCCAGTCTGCTTTGGGCTACTTAGGTTGTCAGTCTATGGCTCAGTTCATTGGCACCAGAAGCCTTGGTTCCAAGATGAAGGCTTGAATCCCCAACAGTTTGTATGGGGATTCAATGCAGCCCCTATGGAAATTCTGGTGTTGAAGGGGACTGGTGAACATGTAAGTAACAAGGGTAAAATCCAGCCCATTCCTGGAAAAACAAAGCCTGTGGCCTCGGGTCAATTTTTGCAATTGGACAGAACATGCTGCCACTTACAATGTAAGCTTGTTTCTCAACCTCCCTGCATCTCTGTTTCCTCATCTGTAGAACGGAGATAAGATTTGCTCCCTTTCTACCTCACCAGGATCTGTGAAGATTAGATAATGGTTGTAAAGTCCTTGTACAAAGGTAAAAGCATTATCATTAAGAAGGAGATTAGTCAACAAATAAAAAAGAAAATATTGGAAGGACCTCCCAAAGAGCATTGCCTAAACATTTTTGAATCAGTATCAGCCCTTTGCAGTCTCATCCATTCTGAGTTTGGTTTAGTTATAAAAAAAGTTAGAGGTGAATCTTTGACCTTTCTATTTGTTTATAAGGTTAAAAAATGGTTTGATAGCAAACATTTGTATTAATAAAAACGAAGTGGGCTTTGAATCTGAAACAGGTTTTATTTGAAAAAGGAGGCGAAAGCTTAGGTCTCCAGGAACATATGGGCCGCTGAGGAATATTTGCATGTATTTGATCTGCAAGCATGCTTCGGTGATTTTCACAGTATACCTTGGAGTTTAAGTCGTAGCTCCGCAGCCTAATTCACTCTCCCCAGCTTGATTATGGCACACAGCGACAACTTCATTTTTAGCATTAAAAAAAAAAAATCCTCTTCACTTAATTCAGACAGTGACCTGCAGGCCTCATTCTGACTGAAGGAGCCATTCAGAATACTTGCAGACAAAAGCAGGGCTTTTTCCTAGCAACCAGATCAAAGCCAAATCTCCCAGAATAGCTCCCTCCCAGGTTTCCTTTGGCGCATAGGTTCACAAGGATTCTAAGGCCTGTGGTATCCAGTTCAAACTACTCTTTCAAACTGAAATGGCAAGGAAAACGGAGGAATTTTTGCAGCCTGAAAACTGGTGAGCGTTGCAGGAGCACTTAATCTTGGGAGAACACGGTGGTCATTTGGAGCATCCCTAACTTTATTATCGCCTGCATCTGCGTGTCCATTCTGTTGGACTCCCACAGAATGAGGTCTCTGTTTCCTCTCTGCCAGTACCTAATATCAGCTATGCCCAGGAGCCGGCTGATGAAGACTTCCTGTTTGTTTTGAGTCACTGTGAGAGTGATAAATATACTTCAGCTTTCTGCTTGAGAGGAAAGAAACCAGCTGCCCTGAACTAAAGAAAAAAAAATGCAGAAATTCCACTGAATGGCCCTGTTATCATAGAGTTTCAAGGGCAGCATCAAAATGAAAACTATAAGCCAGGGCAAAGTAAATAATTTCCATATTAAAGCATCTTGCTGCATGCATAGGCCTAAGTTGTTTGTCTTTAATCATTTAGGCGAACCATGCATTTTTCACTCTTCTAAGGCTAACTCGGCAATGTTTAGAAATTTTTTAAAAAAATGTGAACTTAAACGGACAGAGTAATGGTGAGCTATATAAATAAACAATTACAGTTGTGGTTTTTTGATCTGACCACAAGCTTCTAATGCCACTTTTGCATGCACATATGATGCTTCTGGAAAAACAGTCCTGTTTACACTGTCAGTGGCATCCAATGTTGCATTGAGACATTTACATATGAGATTATTTGGATATAGAGTAGCCCGAGAACAAAAGGATACCATACAATTATTTAAAACAAGAACAACAGGAAGTCCTTGATAGCTTAAATAGTGCTTCTTAAATAAAGCTGTGGAGTTTTATGTTTCATCTCATTTTGTCCTCTTATTTTGAACAGGTTTTGAATTTGTGTGGAATTCCCGTCTTAACTTCGACCTGGAGAACAGTGAATTTAGGAAGCCTGTTGATCTGAATGTCTTGATCACTGCATTCTGGCTCCCTGGCTCCTGTCTTTTCTTTTTTTTCTAAGTTGAGGGTAGGCTTAACTTCCAGAAGTCAAAAGTTGAAAAAGATGGCAACAAGGTGATTGTGCTTGGAGTGGGTATGAATTGCTTATTTCCTCCCAATACCTATAGTCTTTTAAAGCAATTTATAATAGTAGAAGGAGAAGAATTTATTAATAATCTCCAGTAGAATTTTTGTTCAAATAAAGGAAATGTCTAATAAACAAGTTCAAAATAGTTATCAACAACACTTTTAATTTGTCAAATTATTGATGCAGATATGGAGACAGGATGCTGTGTGTTGGCCTTCTGACAACATACCTGGTCATATTTATAAACTGAGACAAGTACACATGAATTGTTGTGTATAGAGAAGGTTACCCAACATCTTGGAGTCAACGACTGGAACATGGTGAATTCCTGGGTGGGAATTACAGTGCTGAAGGCTTGATGGAGACTGGGTCCTTACTGTTGAAAAGCTCACATTAAACACATTCGTGTGACATTGGCAACTTTTAAGGAGGCCATGCATTTCGAAATGTTCAGCACATTAGTTAAAACAAAGCCAAATATAGTAAATTTGTTTTACTTCATAGATATGTTGTGATGTGTGTCTTTTTTATATTCTAACTTTGCTGACATAAGGAAGAGGAGAAAAAAGCATTTTTAAACATGATTGAGGATGGAAGGGTCAAACGTCTAAATAGCATATTTTCTGTCATAATGTATGACCTTAGAAAAAATAGAATCAGAGAATGGATGGTAATAGGAGGGGAAAACAAGAGTGAAGCCAGCATTTTCAGGGTAGGAAAGAAGGATATAAAATAAACTTATGAGATGAACGTTATTTGCTAAGATAAGTACACCCAGCGACAATTTTAGGGGGTATATTGGCCTCTGTACGTTAAAAAATGAGGTTAAATTTGATAGAAATACATGAGATGAGGGTTTAGGTGAGGTTTTTTTTGTAAAAACCTATCATTTAAAATAAATTGGAACTCAATTGGGTGGGACCTATCACTTACCAAATATAAAAAGGCGTGAAAAAACCGCCCATTACCTTTTCAGTGCTATTGAATGTCAAATATTTAGTGTTGAAGTGAAACTATTATGGTAACATTCTACACATATAAAGCCACCATTTTCTCAGCAATAGTCTTTGCTTAGTAGGTTCAAAACTGGCTGTGGTTGAGATGGCACACTTGTGAGCTAGCCTTAGGAATGATGGATCTATAGGAATTCCACTCATTAATAACCAACATCCATTTCTTTTCTTTCTTTCTTTCTTTCTTTCTTTCTTTCTTTCTTTCTTTCTTTCTTTCTTTCTTTCTTTCTTTCTTTCTTTCTTTCTTTC